ACATAGGTTTCGACATCAGCGTCGTCACCTAAGTCATGGTCCGTTTGGACCAGTACATCATTTGGAGGCCGAATGGCCTCCGGATTTGGTACAGGTTCTTGTGAAGCCATTTCAGAGGTACTCTCCCCACAGACGGCGCCAAATGTTTCGGGGTTTTTGTCCCTCGGGAGAGTTACAACACTGAAACTGGATTCAACTGAGGACGCCTGTACCTGCAAAGCAAACAGACCTCCGGATGGTTGGGGGTCCGCCTCCGAAGATTAAGTCAGCATACGTTCGGAAATAAAACGTGCGGAAGTAAAGTTATCTGCTTGGATTCCAAGCTCAGGTAAAGTGAGATAAGTGACGTATTATCTCGTATTGCGTGTCAAAAATTCTCTCTCTGTCATAAATGACATAATGTCCCTATTTATAGGGTCCTTTTGAAAAGTGTGCCTTCCTAAGATCTGGTGACCTAGGAATTAGGTCACGCCGTTTTGCGGCGCCTCGTGATTTGGGCCTTAGAAGGCCGCCATCCCAGGGCCAATGCCTGAGTGACACGTGTCACTGTGCCCAAAAGGATTTTGAAGCACTTTTTGTGTGACACGTGTCGCCACCTGAATGGTCCCTGCTGGACCATCAGTCCACGTAGGACGGAGAAGAGTCCACCCTCCACGTGTCATCATTCCATAGGTCCAAATGACACCTATACGGAGGACACGTGGCGCTTTCTGATTGGGCCACCTGGCCGGGTATAAAATACCCAAATCAAAAGTAGTATATCAAATCTTGATTTTTTGAAACTCTACATGATGATCTGAAATAAGAAAGGAAAAAGGTTCAAATGTATGACATTATAACTCAATTCAAATTAATTGCAACGATTCAGGGTCTGTTCTCATACGTTGAAATTCAGTTTAGTTTAGTTCAGTTCAGTTCAGCTCCTAATTTCCTTCTCTTATAAAATATTCATTTCAGTTCAGTTCACTTCAGTTCAGTTCAGCTCAGCTTTGCTCAGCTCAATTCATTTCAGTTCAATCAATGAGAACAGACTCTCAATCTATCTAGTCGCCTTATTTGTATGCTAATTCTTAACATAAATAATTATCAAATAAGATGTCATTATACGGACTATTTATTTTTGTTTATATTGATGTGTACTTTTCAAATATGATACTTTCATAATTTTCTAACTTACTATATTAAAAATAATTAGTTATAAGTAAACAAAAATAACAAGATTTGATTTGATCTAATTCAATCATTTTTAATTCATAACGAACTGTGGTCATGCTAAAAAAGATTTGATTTGATCTAATTCAATCATTTTTAATTCATAACGAATTGTGGTCATAGCTAAAAATGATCGAATTGTTCATTATGAATAGCAAACTCCACCGTCATAACAAAATGAGAATGTAATAGAATTCCGAGATCCAAGTGTAGGGTAACCTGCGTGCTCATTTGGTAAAATTGGGTTAGAAAATCTTGCGAGAATCTGGTCCACATTAATATAATTGTGGACTTAAGGTTTATACATGTAATTGATATTATATTCAACATAGTGATCCCCCAATTTTAATATAGTAACCTTATTTTTAGCATATTAATCTTTTTAAAAACTTGTGTGACCTTCATTGTTATTATGAACTTAAAGTACGACATTATGTTGAACAAAAATTCTTAGGTGGACCTTTTTAAAAACTTGTGTGACCTTTAATGTTATTATGAAATTAAAGTACGACATTATGTTGAATAGTGACCTAGTTTTAACATAGTGATATTTATTATTCATATTGACCATTATATTAAAATTTCAGTAAAAAAATTAACCTCTTATAACTTTTATAATGTCACACCAACTTTTATTTCAATATAATAACCTTTTATTTCAACATAATAACCTTTATTTTAATATAGTGACTTTTTTTTATTAATAAAACAATCATATATATTGTCTTTAATATTGGAGGTTCACAATAAATTAGTGTGAACCAGGTCCATTAAGAATTTGTAAATTCGAGTCCTACAAAACAAAGAGAGTTAATGACCTGGGGGTGTTTCCTGAGAAAATCCCCTCCGACGGTCAAGTCAGTCAACCGTTTTAGAGAGAGAAGATTTGTAGAAAGTGTGGAGAAAATTCATTACCCGACTGGTCTTTATTAATCGGTATTTATGAAGGATGATATACTAGATTGATTAGGGTTGGGATTAGAGATTCCGGTCATCTTGTGATGTATTAGGCACTTTTGGGTCATATTAGGGTTTCTCGAGATGTGTGTCCTGGCCGATTCCGAAATATTCTCATTTTTGGGGTTATGCCAAGTGTATTTTGGTAAATTCATCCTTATATAAAACTGAGCCCATAGAGGGGGCCCAAACAGATGGGGAGAGAATAAATGCATCTAGTGATATAGAGTAGTATTGAAGAACATAGAAAAGAGAATACGTGAATTCACTGTTAATGGAGTAAAATTCCATCCATAACGCTGTTTTTTTTTCTATCAAACCCTTTAGTTAACTCCTCTTCTATCGAAGTACAAATATACCCTCAAACTATTTTGTGAAAATCCAATGCTTCCCATAAACTTAGATTTTTTTTTTATTTGTTTAAATAAGTTTAACTGAACATATTTAACATCACATTAATTTTTTGTCATAGATAATTCAAAACGGATGAAGTATGTTGCAAGCTAGGATACATGGACACTTTATCCAACTGTGACACCAACACTCGTTGGACACACGATAATACATTTCAGATCGTGTCCTACTATAATATGATTTATTGTGCTAATTGACACATCACCTTATCTTTTCAACCATTTTTTTAATGAGAAAATTTAGCAAAGTAAGATAGATAAAAGTAATAGTTTAATAATAGAGGTGCCTTCATATTAATTCATTGTTATACTACGTATGTGAAATTTTGAACTAAAAGAGTATTATGATATTGTTAATGTGATATATTGTGATCTAATGAGAGGATCGAATGACAATATACTGATATAGAATTAGAGAAGGAAAATTAAGAAATCAATTAGACAAGTGTTTTATACTTTTATGCCCATTGGTTATGTAATGTTGTAATATTTGCATTTATCTAACTAAAGTATAGGTCATATATATATATATCGTACGTAGTACGCACTACGTTTATTACAATAAGATTATATATTTTCTCAATACGGAGTAGAAGCTAATCTACAAGCTTCAACAATGAAATGCCCATATCAAATCAACTAATGAAACTTTTGCTATTTCCTTGAATTATTTATGACTAGATTATTAATCAATTAATACTATACTATAATTAAGAGTTAAGCTAAAATACGATCCCTCAACTTTAGTATTTATAGCATTTTGGTCCCTCATCTTTCAAACGAAGCAAATTGGTCCTTCAACCACCCATAACTTACTTTTTCGGTAGAAAAAAAGATGAGTCACCAAAGTTTAAGGACCAAAGTGCCCATGTGGCAAAATATAAAAATAATATTTTTAAAAAAAGTTTAGGGACCTATCCTAGTTAGCAAAAGTTTATGGACCATGATTCATTTTTTTTTTGGTCAGGTTTTATTTAAAAAGGAATAATCTTTTAACTGACATTATTTTTTTTTTCATCAACATTAATATTTTGGTTATGATTTGCATTAATAAAACTATAGAATTTTCGGGAAAAAAAAACTATAAGATTTTCCACCTTTTCTCACCCCACATCACCAACAACCTGCCACAAGCCCACAAACACACAACCCCATCTCCACCAGTCTGCAGCCTCACCACCGTCATTAATTAATCAACCACGCAACCCAAATCTCTGATTCGGCCGACCTATATTGCGCATGAATTTGTATAGAATTAATAAAATCAGGAGACCAAGATTTAACCACAAAATAAATCAAAGGCTGAAATACAAAGATGGTGATTGCTGATGATCGTTAATGAGGTGCAAAGTAGGGGATTGTTACCCCATTAGAGCAGCCAAACCAAAAGAGAAGAAGAGAGGGCTGACACCTTTTTTTTTTTCTTTTCCTATTTCCTTCTTTCTTTATTTTTCCTTTTTCTATTTCATTAATTTGAAGTATTTAATTTTTTTTGAAAAAAAGTCAAAGTATTTATATTTTTTAAGTCATATTTAATTTTCTTCTTTAATCCTTTAAAACATATACATACACATATATATATATATATATATATATATATATTTTATAAAAAAAACGTCATTTAATTTTTTAAAAAAGCAAAAAATTTGGGTAAGTCCATTTAACTTTTGCTTAGTTTTCTTTCATTTTAATCAAAGTTTGTACATAATAAATAATATATATTAGCAACTGATAAAAAAAAAAATTAATGATTTATAATCCCTAAACAAATGCTAATTAGGATAAGTCCCTTAACTTTTGCTTAGTTGGCACACACATTCCCAAACTTTGCTGACTCATAAGTTCCTCCACCAAAAATGGTGAGGCAAAGGTGGTAGAGGGACCAATTTGCCTCATTTGAAAGATGAGGGACCAAATATGCAACTAATGTCATAGTTCAGGGACCGTATTTTAGCTTATCTCCTATAATTAACTATGGATACTTCAATAAAACTTTCCAAGACCGGCACATGTTGATTATTATTAGTGTGATTTTTTTTTCCATTTTATTGATATGAATTTAACATACAAAAGTAATATTTTTTTTTTTGTATTAATTTTAAAAATAGTTATTTGAAATTACAATATAGTATTAATTTTAAAAATATTAATTGAAAATTACCATGCACAGAAATTAACCTAGTTGATCATATTATTACCTCCGTTACACATTATTTGCAACGATTTGACATAAAGTAGAGAGGAAAAATGTCTAATCGTTGCAAATAATATGTAACGGAGGTAGTAGTAAGCATGACATTTTGCTATTGGACATTTGGCCTATTGCCATATGTCACAAACTTTTATAGAAGCTAGTCATAATCAGCTGGACCCACAAAATCATGTTAAGCCCCCCTAACCCCTCAAAAGTATCACACTAGATTGCACCCCCAAAAAGTATCACAACAGATTTTAGATTGCAAAAAAAAAAAAAAAAAAAAAAAAAAAAAAAAAAAAAAAAAAAAAAACCTTCAAATCTTTCGCACTCAAAAGTCACAAACACTGTCATTCCCACCTTCCCCCTTTCAATACGGAGCAGTATATGCAACAAACAAACAACCAGATTCAAATCTTAAAAAGAGTTCAGAGTTCAAAAAACACGATAACCCATCAAATCACAATCTCAATTAATTGTAATCTAATAGGCTTTGGGTTATTGACGATAACCCATCCAATCACAATCTCCATTAGTCGTAATCTTATAGGCTTTGGATTATCGGGTATATACCGTATATCATCGGGCGTCCTGTCGTGTCGTGTCGGTCCCTCAAATTCAGTATTCATCCTCCATAGTTGGAATTGACCCAGCAACTGTACAAAAGGTTGCTTCCACGATCTCTTTCCTCTGCTTAGAATCCATCAAAACTTGCACTATTTACTCCAAATATACTACTTCTATATTTTTTCATACTCAAAAAAGTTTAAGCCTTTAAGCATTTTGAACGCATTCTTCCTTTCTTTCTAGTTTCTACCAATTTTTACACCCACCGCTTCCTTGCCGACCCTCAAAAAAATTTTTAAATTAGAAAATAGAAAAAGGGTTTTCTAATAGATTCTGAAGAAAATCGGTAGGTAGCTTTCTTTGTTTTTATTTTGTGCAAAAATATTTTTGTGGGGTTATAAAAAAAAATCTGGTTTATTAATATAAAGTTGGGTTTTCTATAAGTTTCAATTGATGGGTTGTTTTTTTATTTGCGTATGTATTTTCTGGGTTTATAGTAAATTTGTTTTTTTTTTTGTTTTTTGGTTTACTGATATTTCTAATTTTGCTGATTTTTTAGTTTGTGGAGTTGAAGAAGGCTGATTGTTTTTTCATCAACAAAAGTGAACTGGTGAAGTGTTTTTTTATTATAATATAAAGGTGAGATCTCTCTCTTTTTTTTTTTTTAATGATGATTTTTGGTTGAATATACTTGTAATTATTACTATGTGTTGAGCAATGATTTTGAAAATGAGAATGAAATTTAATAGAGAAATGTGATTGATGAACAATAATTGGGAATGTTTGTTTGCTTCTTTAAGCTCATTATGATTACTGATTAAATTAGTTTTGTTTCTATTTTTGTATCAGCAATGTGTTTTGATGTTTATTAATTTATACAGTAATTTGGTTACATGAAGTGAGGATTCATCATTAACTACAAATCAACAGTGAAATTATAGTTTCAGTAGAAATTTAAAGCTTGAATGCACATTGAATCATGATGAGATTTCTGATTCAATTCGCATTGCTGTATGACTTAGCTGACTCAGAATGTGGAAGGAGTCTAATTTTTATGATTATTATTTTTTCTTGGACGGTGTTGAGCGCTAAGCAAAGATTTTGATTACAGGTTGTCTAGTTTGAGGTGGTAAACACATTGATTGATTTCGGGATTGGTATATTGAATGCAGGTTGTCTAAGTTGAGATGGTAAACTAATTGCTTGATTCGGTATTGAATACTTGTGTACAGGTTGTCTAGTTGAGGCGGTAAACCCATTGTTAGATTTGGGATCAGATACTTGAATACAGGTTGTGTAGTTGAGGTGGTAAACCCACTGTTTGATTTGTGATTGGATAATTTAATGTATGTTGTCTAGAGGGGTAAAGAATGCCGTAAGCATCAACCTTGAAAACACATTTTCAGTTCTGTTAGATATGTTTTATTTCCTTTCTGAAGTTAAATCGGAGGCAGGGGCGATTATAATGCTCCGGTTTAACTGAATAATTAATGATCTTCACATACTTGGATGTCAATAGTTTTCTATGTGTTACATTCTTTCTCCATTTTTTAGTGATATTTTTGCCTTTTCCTCTTCACTTCCTGACTCTTGCTTTCTGAAAAATTTCTGATTCCTCTGTCTATGTAGTCAATGGATCTTTATTGTGATATTTGCTTGCACTTAAGAGTATGACTTGTGAATTTTCATTTTGTTTACACTTGTTTTTCAGATCATAGACTGTGAAGTTGTCTTGCCCTTCCTCTATAATGGCAGTGGAAAACGATGATGTTCCAGCTAGCAATGAAGCAAACAATAGCAATGAAGACAAATCACTAGATCACTCTACTGGAAAGCCTCGCACCACTAAGAAAGTTCCTCATTATCTTAGAGTGTCTACTGGTTCCTGCCATGATGCCTGCAAGCATGGGATTACCCACAATAAGCCAATTCGCCCTGAAAGGAGGAGAATGTCAGCACCACTTCCGCATGGAAAAAAGACAGTAAAGATTGAAATATATGTTGATAAAAAGGTTCAAAAAGCAGTTCAGTCTAACGACCTTGCACTTCCATCAGCCAAAGAGTCTGCTCCTGCTAACAATAAATTGATGAGAAATTTACAGTCATCTAGGAAATCCCCTGTCCATGATTCGTCAAAAGTAGCTAAGCTAGAAGCGAGATCATCTATCAAATCTTCTTCACCTGATGCTCCAAAAGTGGTCAAGAAGGTAGTTCCATCCTCTGGAAAGTCATCTTTGCCCAATGCCTTGAAAATCTCAAAGCATGAAGTTGCTTCAACTGCTAAAAAACCAGTTTCATCAAATCGGATACCTTTAAATCCTAGGGAAAGGAATGTTTCTGAGGGTCCTTTGAAACTGAACAGTTGGGCTAAGAAGCCATCACCTTCAACCAATACCATGAAGATCTCAAAGCCAGAAGTTGCCTCAGCTGCAAAAAAGAGTGTTTCATCAAAGCGGACTTCTATAAATTTTGAGGAAAGGAATGGTTCTGTAGGTTCTCCGAAGCCAAACGGTAGGGGTGAGAAGCCATCATCTTCCCTAAGCTCCTTAAGATTAAGGAGCAAGCAGACTAGTGAGACTAAAAGTGGTGCTAATCTAAGAACCTCTAGAGTTGCTGTCGTGAAGACTCAGGCTCCTTCAGCTGCCTCATTGTCTCTAAGGACTTCGAAAGTGGAGGTGAAAAAACTCTTGCATCCAACAACAGCTGGCGGAGGCCCTAAAGAACAGAACCGGAGAGGTCTAGCTTTTGTCAAGAATCAGATGTTAGCTAAGGTAGCTGAACCCAAGGAGCTTGCTGATGAGAAGGTTGAGGAGAAAACAGTGCATATGATTGAGACTGAGGATAATCCTTCAACTGCTCCTGATACAGGCCTCTTGATTCAATCTCCTTCTCCTTTGTCACCAGAGTCGCTTAATTCATCCTCCCAAGGAAATTCTCTCTCTTTCACTTCTCGTGAGGTTGATGACCGGTGTGAGTTGGATTCAGAGTATACTGATAGTGATGCTGAGGGCTCAGTCTCTAACTACAATAGCTCTGGTGATTCAAAAGCAGCTGATAGCTTAAAAGACGGAAAGGAACTGACACATGATTCTGAGGGTCGGGACCCTGCATCTTTAAAGCTGAAGTTTCGGAAGGCAAAGGTGGTTGAACAACAATCTGAAACCAACATTCCGAGAAGGCTACGATTTAGGAAAGGCAGGACCTTGGGTGATAAGCAAGATACTAATGGTAGGGCCCACCGGAACAGCTACAAGGAAAGGGCTGCTGAATGTAACAAAAAGGAGGCAGAAATTGGTGTGGCAAAGGTTAATTTGAAGCACCAAGAAATGGAGACTAAGAAAGATGAGCAAGTTTCATATAATAATGTGATCGAAGAAACTGCTAGTAAGCTTGTTGAGAAGAGGAAGAGTAAAGTAAAGGCTTTGGTGGGTGCTTTTGAAACGGTCATATCTCTCCAGGAACGCAAACCATCTGCTGCTGCTGATAGATGACACTTGACAACTTGACCATTTCTAATTAAATTTGTGTTACTGAGAGACTCATTGGTGCGAGTAACTAACAACGGTTTGAATGGGAAAGCTTGCAGGTTGCAGCCTCTATAAACTTTGATAGGTTAAAAATGTACTTCTGACTTTATTTTTAAGTCCCTTATGGACTTAGTTTGGAAGAGCCGATGACTTTTAGGCTTTTAGGAATGAAAATTGTAAATGAACTGATTTCTTAAATAAATAAATAATATGGTATGGTTGGTGATGGCTATGTAATTGCTGCTGTTCTGATATTCTTTCTGTTGCTAGGCATTTGTGTGGGATGTGTGATTCGAGATGAATAGATGATGATGCATTGCTAATGAGGTGGTTCAATGTTGTTGTTGTAGGGGGATTTGTGGGGCTCGTTCGTAAGGGAGAAGGAAGAGCCGGTGGTGGGTTGTGATGCTTGGGATGATGTGGGCTAGAAGCAAGTTGTATTGGAGCAATGCCGTGTTAATGCCTAGAGACCTAGAGTGCAGCTAGGAGATATAGTACTGCAGTCTGCAGTAGCTTAGTGTTGCTGGTGTGTGGTTGGTGCTTGTTGTGAAAGAGATGGCAGAAAGGCAAGGGTTTGAAACCCACAAGCAACAAATCTAAGCTTTTTTGGTAGCCTATGTCTATTGACTTCCTTGACCGAACTAGACTTTGAGTCACTCTGCTTGGACTTTGAGTAAACCTGGGCACGGGCCGGGTTGGCCCGCGTGCCGCCCGGCACGGCCCGAAGTCAAGCACGGCACGGCACGAAGTTCAACTTCCGTGCCACGGGCCGTGCCACAGACACGGTTGAGAATTCCCAGGCACGGCCCGGCACGAGCACGGGCATGGCCCGCCGTGCTGGCCCGCAGGCACGGCCCACGGGCCAACGGCTATAAAACGGCTAGTTTTTTTGCCAAAAATTCTATAAATACTCACCTCCATTTCATTCCCAAATCACAAAATCACAATCTCTTCTTCTTATCTCTTATATTCTCTAAATCTCTAATAATCCTTATTTTCTTAAATTCTCTAATTATTCTCTTAAATTCTCTAATTATTTTCCTAATATCGGAAAATTAAAAAGTTCGTAATCGTAATTAGTGGAGCGTTGAAGCACGGTTGTAAGATCTAAACTAATCTTAAATTTATTATTGTTTTATTGTTATTATTAGAATAATCTTGTTTAATTATTATTGTTGTTAATTGTTATTGTTGTTGTTATAATTGTTGTTATTAATTATTATTATTGTTACAATTGTTGTTATTATTTATTTTTGTTGTTATTGTTATTGTTATAGTTGTTGTTATTAATTAATATTATTGATATTTTTATTGTTAAAATTGTTGTTATTAATTATTATTATTATAGTTAACCACTTTTTATTAAAAAATTAATTGTTAATTATGGCATCGAACAACCCATCATCTAGGTCTAGGGGAAAGGCCGACTTATCCGTAGTAGTAGTTCTAGGGAACCACCAAATACAACGAGCCCCCAAATTACGAGTCAAACCAATGACCCCATTTACTTCCCCCCGGGCTATGAGCCATATAATACGTCGGGATTTCCAGCACCACCACTAAACCAATTTCCACTACCACCATACCAATTTCCACCTAATTATATCGGTAATCAACAAAACTATTGTTCTAGCCAAGGTAGCCAAGAAAGTACCCGAATTCCCTCCGGTTCTACCCCTTCTACTGCCACTCCCACTAGTCCCACTACTAACCATCACACACATCATGAATGGTTAACCGAAACTGAGATGCTACTTTTGAAAAACCGAAGGAGTGAGGTATGGCGTTATTTTGTCCTAAGTAAAGATGGTGAACAATGGGCAAAATGTAAAACATGTAATAGTGTATTCACGGCAGTTACCAAAAACGGGACGGGACACTTATCTAGACACATGAAAGCTTGTGCAAAACCAGCTAGTGATCCAACCCAGCCCAAAATTTCCCAATTCCATCCATACGGCTTTACATACAACTATGAGAGGGATAGGGATGAACTAGGAAAAATGATAGTACACGCCGAACAACCTTTTCTTTTCTCGGAAAGTGACGCATTCAACACCTACATTAACAAAGCACTACAACCCCAACATAAAAGAATCTCTAGGAAAACCGTTCGTTCCGCCGCAATGAAAAATTTCCTAGAGTACAAAGTCCGGTTACAAGCCGAATTGAGTAACCTTAACTGTAGAGTATCTTTAACAGCCGATTCTTGGGATAGTGGTTATAAATATCACTATTTATGTGTGACTTGCCATTGGGTAGATGATCAATGGATGTTACAAAAAAGAATAATACATTTCAAAATGCTGGAATACCCACACACCGGCATTAACATTGCTCACCATTTAATGCAAGCAATAGACGAATACAACCTTCGAGATAAAATGATGTCTATGACTTTTGATAATGCAACCTCTATGACATACACAGCTAATCTTATCAAACAAAACTTAACCAATGTACTATTAGACGGTGAAGCTCTTCATACTAGATGTGTTTGCCATGTACTTAACTTATGTGTACAGGATGGAGTTCGGGCAATTGGCCCATACTACAGCAAAATCAGATATGCTATTATGTCTATTAATAGCTCTAACATGAGATACCAAGAATGGAAGAGTTTTCTAAAACAACAAAAGATAAGGGTAATAAAAATTAGAACCGATTGCCCAACTAGGTGGAATTCCACCTATGACATGTTAACAAAGGCAATTGAGTACAAGGGCCCGTTAACATTATTTTACAACCAAAAATTTCCACAAAATGCTTTGTATGATGATGATTGGAAAAACTGTGAAAGATATATGCAATTTTTACAGTTATTATATAACATGACGTATTGTTTTTCTACTGTTTACAATCCTTGTGCTCAAAACTTTCTTTCTAATGCATGCTTACTCGCCCAACTTTTCGCTGATCATCGCGATCAAAGTGATTATGATCAGTATCTTCCAGCAATGGAAAAAAAGTGGCGTAAATATTATAGTGAGATTCCTTTGATTTATATTTTTGCTTCCATATTAGATCCTAGGCAAAAGTATGAAAACACATTTATGTTAGTTGACATTTACTTTCAATGCATGTTTCTTGACGATGATGTAGAAAACTATAAGACTAATGTGAAGGATCTGTTTTTTGCTTTATATAGAGTCTATGAAGCCAAATATGGCACCGTTCCTCGCTCAGGGCCTTCCCAACCATCCAAAAACGTAAGTAAGAAGGCCAAACATTTATTTTCACAAGCTACTAACTTGATTTCAAGGTTTTCAGGTGATTCATCAATCAGGAGAACGCAAAGCGACGTCTCGGAGTTGCAGATGTACCTGAGTTACGACTTCACCAAAGGCATGGACGACGATGAGATAAACAGCCTCGACCTCCTTGCATGGTGGAAACAACAAAGCTCGAAGCATCCAACTTTGGCGGCAATGGCACGAGACATTCTCGCTATCCAAGTTTCCTCCGTCGCCTCCGAACGAGCTTTCAGCGCATCCGGAAGGGTTTTAGACGATAGAAGAACAAGTCTAAAACCCGAAACACTAGAAATGTGCGTGTGTTTCAAAGATTGGTTGGATGCGGAAAATCGCTCACAAGACCGTTCTTACGACCACAACGACAACGAAGAAGGAACCTCCGCTTCCGGTTCGGGTTCGGCTAGTTCCCAATCTATGCAACTAGCCGATGACCTTGAAGGCGAAGGCGAAGACGAAGACGAAGACGAAGACGAAGACGAGCAAGAAGAAGGAGAAGAAGAATAGACAATTATTGTATATTGTACGATTTTAAAAAATATCAATTTTATCATTTTTCAATTTTTGTTTAATACCATCATTGTATGATTTTTATCATTGTTATCATTGTACAATTTTCTCAACTCAAGTAATAATAATATAAAGTACGCATTATTCACATCCAAAGTCCAATTTGCCTTTTTTCCCCGTTTTGTTACAATTTGTAAATTCATATTAAAAAAAAATAAAATTATACCAATTACTAATAAATCATAAACATTAAATTTTAAAGTAATAGTATAAAGTAAATATATAAATATAAATATTGAATATACAAATTATAAAACATAAATATTCAACTTATAATTATAAAATTCATAACTTAATAACTTATAACTTATAAGTTATAAACTTATAAGTTACCTTATAAAACTTATAATTAGATTTTTATAACTTATATACATTATAAACTTATTAATTTATAATGTTGTCATTAAAAAAAAAAAAATGAAAACTGCACCAGCCCGCACAGGCCAGCCCGCAGGCCGGCACGTGGCCGGCACGGCACGAGCCCGCCAGGCACGAGGGCCGTGCCGTGCCGTGGGCTGGCCTGTGAAAATGGCCGGCACGGCACGGCACGAAATCCTGGGCCCGCCGGCACGAACCAGCCCGTGGCCCGCCAGGCACGGCCCGCGGCGGCCCGGCACGGCACGGTGCCCAGGATTAACTTTGAGTCACTCGTGCTTAAACCTTGATATCATATGTGTTTATATTCATTTACAACCAAATTTGTGTCTTTATAAATATGCCGATCAATCCGTTGCGTTAAAAACCAATAACACCCATAACTGTTTCACCTTTTTATTGTACCTAAACTAGTGTGTAGCCTGTACGTTGTACCATGTTACGTGTTTTTTTTTTTAATCAAACCTTTTGATTTGCAATTATTTACATCTATTCTCACGACATAATGAGAGGTTGAGTAGGTAATGTGGTGTAATAAAAATAAGACATTCTTAGAAAAATAAGACATTCTTAGAAACGTCTTTTAAATACTCCAGATTAGTATTGATATGCCATTTTTGACCCTGGTGAACACGTTTTATTTCTCACACCAACCCCAACCTTCTCCAATCTCCCTTTTCTCCATTTCAAGCGTGAAAGGAATTCCAGAATCCCAGCAATCGTCTGAGTTTGGTGAACCAATTCTAAAAACCCTCAATTTTTAGAGTCCCCTTTATTAATCTTTGATCTTCCCAGAAACCAAGTGTAACAAAGTAATCCAATAATCATGGGTGTCCTCCCTAAAATTGCGCCATCGATGCTATCCTCAGACTTCGCCAATTTGGCTTCTGAAGCTCAACGTATGCTTGATTTTGGCGCTGATTGGCTTCATATGGATATCATGGTATTTCATTTCTTAATTTTTATTTTTCTGTGTTTTTTCTAGTAGAAATTTTATACTCCCTTCGTTTCAGAATAATTTATATATCGATCCGATTCTAA